TTATAAATCTCAATAGCAAAAAAAAAAAAAAAACAGTAGGAGCATGACAACCAAAAAGAACAAACCCCATTGGAGCATATTTGTTCTGGTCGTTGCTTTCAAAGAATCAATCAATTGAATGCATCTAAGCAAAGGACAAGATCAAGTAGAATTTTTACTTGGAATGGAGAGAAAACTAAAAACCATAAATAAGTAAATAACTTACCTTGAAGGCTTTAGAGAGAAAAGTTGGTGACAAAGAGAGCACTTGTCAAACTCAAAGGAGAAAGAAAGAAAGGGCTAAGTGGATGTGATGGTGACTTGGTGAGACTAAGATCTAAGTATGAGATAATGTTAAAGACTAAAGAGAAAAGGTGGAGTCGAAGGTTGAACGTCGGAGGTTGTATGGACTATGGAGGTTAAAGAATATGAGAAGAGTTTGAACTTTGAAGAGTTAGAGTCTTAGAGAGTATTAGGGCAAGCAAGAATAGGAAAGGTCAGGAGGTGAGTCATAAGTGGAGTGGGATTATTTTTACTTCTAGAAGATGATGAGTTAAGAGAATCAATTAGCTAATTAGAGAAAATTACTCAATTATTAGAGGTTTAGGTGGGATTGGGAATTGAAAAAAAAAATAAATAAATAATAAATTAAAATTTTTTTAATTTTTAGACGGGTAAATGGGTCAAACCCGTTAACCTGGTGGGTCAACTCATGACCCGTTGGGTTCTTTTAACAGGTCATTAACGGGTTGCGGGTTATAAATATATGACCCTAACCCGTTTTAAACGGGCGGGTAACAGATGGGTTAGCAGGTTGGGTAAAAAATTGACAGGTCTATTCAAGTATGAGCTATAAGGACCATACAATTCAAGCATATTAAGCTATAGTCCTCTAATGTTCTACAAGGACTTTTATATAAGTATAGTTATTATATATTTAGACATTGCAATATAAAATGCCCTTGAAGTCTTTTGAAGACTTCTAAAAATATAATAATAATAATAAAATCTATCGAAAGAGAATATCTACTCAAAATCAATTTCAAGTTTTGTATAAATCTTTGTACTACAAGTTTTACTTTGTGTTCATTATATATTTTTACAAATACCACTTATAGTAAGTTTAGACAATTAATCCAATAAATTCATGTTATTCTCGTGATTTTTATTCCATTTGGATCATCTCTTTATATCTTGGCCAACATTTCTTAGTTGACAATTTCAATCAATTTTGATTGAAGATCCTCCTTTTCATTCACCATATCCTTTATTACTATTGCACATGCAAATTTTCTTATAATAACAATTTCATTTTGGTTTCATCCACTTTTTAAAAGAATCATAATTTATAAAGATCTCATCATTTGTCTATAATTTCAATACTCATTATTTTCAAGTGCATGAACCCATTCTTAGGGTTATTTCCTCAAGGTTTTTGCAAGAGTTTTATGATTGTAGTAGTATAACATTCTACTTATGCATTCTCTTCATTTTTGGATTCTTATCCTTAAAAACATTTGTTCTAACATACTTCTAGTGTATGCATAATATATTCATTTACTAATATTTTAACAACTTTTCTAATAGGAATGTCAATACAAGTAAGAGCACCTAAGGCTTGGATATGTGATTTGCTAATCATCATTATGTCATTAAATGCATCCAACACATCCAACAATTGATGGTACAAAACTTTAGAATTTCAATTCATATTAATTTATTTGGGGATATTAGAAGATGCATCTCAAGTTATTTCTTGCATTTCTAATATTTATCCCCTTTCCCCTAATGTTAGGAAAATGATTTTTTTATATTAATAATCAATAAATTTTGTTGTGAAATGATCCACAGTCAACCTACATAAACTCTTAGCTTTCTTTGGAATTATTAAGCCATATATATTATCAAAACATATATTTTGTCACATTTATATTTAAGCATATATATATTAATGTCATAATATATCAAAATATATTTCAAATAATTCAATTAGACTTATACGTCTCTTTGAATTTAATATAACAATAAAGGAAATTATTTTTCTAATTTCATTTATAGAAGGCTTAGTAATCAAATGTTTCCAAGAGAATACAACACATAAAAAACACTTGATGATGGCCGAATAAATTAGGCTCAAAAATAAAAACTTTTAGAATCAACTAGCTTTTAGATAATCAAGTTTGATCCTATTAAATTTGTGTCTATAATTCAAAAAAAAAAAAAACTAATATTTTCAAATATGGTTTTGGATGTAAGCTTCTTTAAAGCTTTCAGGCACAACTTCTCGGGAAACAAGATAACGTGGCCCAATAAAAGAGAAAGTGTTGACTGGAGAGTGCGAAAAGCCAGTGCCCCTAGCATTGCTCTCTTTTAAAATGGTGCACGGTATAAATTTATTTTTTAAATTATAGGCACAATTTATTAAAACAAAGTAAATATTGACCAATAGTCAAATATATTTGCAATAGAAAGAACTCACATACCCAAGCTTAGTTCCAAAGGATTTTATTGTAGAAATATATACAAAAATTTCAAAGCACATATTAATCATCTCATTTCTGTAGTGTACTTCCATAAAACATCGTAAACAATGTAAGGATTCAAGCCATATTTTAAAAACCCATAAGAGAAGGTTTGTTTAACTTTCCTTCAGTTTGAAGTCAAAGAAAGGAAGCTGTAAGAGTTGCGTAATCCTTCTCGCTCTTCATTCTCTGTGTCTTTTTTTTCCTCTTAATTCCTCTCTGTGCAGTGAACTCACAAATTCTGTAGTTCTTAGACATATATCGACCACAACCGAAATCGGCTTTCAATTCACGTTTTCACAAATAAAATGTCTATTTGAATAAAAATTAATAAAAGAAAAGAAAAAAAAGGGAAAGAACGAGGACAAAAAGTGAAAGGAACGAAGGAAAAAAAAGAATTGATGTTAATTTTATTTAGATAAAAGAGGAGAGAAGATAATATTTTTATTTAATTAAATAATTTTTTTTAAAATAAAATATTTAAACTTTAATAATTAAAAAATAATATAAATAAAAAAAATATTTTTTTTAAATTAAAAAATATTAAATTTATAAATCAAATACCTTATCATCCTTTTGATTTAAAAAAAAAAAAAGTGAAGGGAACACTATCACCCTCCATCCCCTCCCTACATTAAGCAAAAATCCAAATAAGGCAAGGGGGTACATCTTTCCCTCCCTTTCCTTCCGATCTGAATACCCAAATCCAAACACATTACATGACACTCGAGTTCAAGAAATCTGGATTGGGAATTTTCTAGTTCCATTTTTAAGTAGACAAATTGATAGTTATGACCAACCAATCTCAGCCAGTCAACCTTATTGGAAAGTGGAAACCACCATTGATGCTGTGTGTGTAGATCTGGTAAGATCAACAAAAAGAGAACTAAACTGGAACACAAGAATTAGATGTAAATAAAAATTAAAACTCCGAATCTAATTCTCAAGAGATAGAACCAAGGAGCAGTATTTGATGATGAGGAAAGGAGTGGCTGTAATGGAATCGAAGATCTCTCTTCTTCTGTAAACAAAGGAAAAGGAAAAACTCTTTTTCATTTTTTTTAAGAAAAAGAAATCAGCATCTTTTTTTTAAGATTTAAGTTTTAGCATGTGAATTGTACATTAAAATTAGGGTGATTCTCATGAGTGGTCACTTAACTTTATTAAAATCAACGTTTTCATCACTCAACTTCTAAACTAACAAAACGATCACCTAACTTCTTAAGTTGTCCAACCGTTAGTCATCCATAGTTAATATTAATTGAAAATGTTAAATTGCCGTTAAGGTGGCTAACTTAAAATGCCATGTCATCCGACCTAGCATTACAAGCACTCATTAGCACTAAAAACATGAAAATTGTAATCTAAATTCTTAAAATTTTATCTTTTTTAATGATTATTCACATGATGATCTTAAGGTCTTTTTTCATGCTAGTTTCTTTATTTTCAACTTATACCTTTTTGTTTCTTTTATTATATTTTAAAATTATCAATATAACTATACAACATTGTTATTTTTATTTTCGAACAGGAAATATAATGTTATGTCTGCAAGAGTTTTGATCATTTATGTTGTGCCAATTTTGTTGACACTAGTTTTAGAGAAGTTTCATGTTACAGATATGGCCAACTAGATCATACTAGTTTGGTAATTTATTCTGAGTTTTCTCGATGTCCATTTTCATTTATTTTGTCTATTATTAGGTAAGCTAAAAAAGGGGTTTCTTGGAAAATTTAGCTTCCCTCTATTTTAGAAATCTGTCTAGTCCCAAAGAAGTTTCACATTATAGACGCAACCAATAGATCATACTGATTTGGTAATTTATTCTGAATTTTCCTAATATTCATTTTCATTCACCATATTTGCTTAAATTAGAGGAGTTAAAAAAAAGCCAAAATTTTAGAGATTTAGATTACAATTTTTACATTTTTAGTGCTTGTAATGCCATGTCATATCCCCCGTGGCATTCAACCTAGCCACCTTAACGGCAGTTTAACATTTTCAGTTAATATTAACTATGGATGACTAATGGTTGGACAACTTAAGAAGTTAGGTGACCATTTTGTTAGAATTAGAAGTTGAGTGACCAACATGTTGATTTTAATAAAATTGGGTGACCACCCATGAGATTCACCCTTAAAATTATAATATACTTTATAAGTTTATTTAAATATTTTTAATGAAATACGCTTACTCTTCCAGTCAAGTGTTTTTCGTTCACATTATGATGCACCCCCTCTTTCTTTGGTAGATTCGAGCCACCAATGACACATTGTTTAAAAATATATATATATATATTCTTAATGAAATAATATAAAATAAAATTTTATTAAAAATATTTAAGTAAATTCATAAAAGTTACTGTACTCTACCTTGTAAAACACCTTTTTTTTGCTTTTTTGTTTTTTTATGTAAATAATAAACTCCTTTTAACTTGGAAAAGGTTGCCTGTTTGCTTGTCAAATGCAATTGCCATATGGTAGTAAGATAAAGAAATTGCTGAAGCGAGTGTTCAAGGTGAGTGCTCTTAGCACGCCTCTCGGCAAAGACAAACTGTTTAACATAGTCTTTGATTGGAATTTATTTGAACAGGGTGTACTTAAATTTTGAGAACCATGACTGCCCAAGTTAGCAGCGTTGCATGTCTTTGTGTTTTCGGTCAGAGAAAAATTCTCAAGAGTAAGAGGTGTTGCCTCTGAGGATTCAGCTGTTGTGAAGACAACATTGGAAGACAAGGTGAGGTTGGGATCTTCACAACTGAAAGTGACTAGGCTAGGGATCGGAACTTGGTCATGGGGTGATAGTATTTATTGGAACGACTCTCGATGGAATGGTAATTTTGCATATACTCTATCTTGAATTCTGATTGTAGGAATTGAAAATAAAATTTGTATAATGGGTTCAATTTTAAGTTTTCTATTTCCACTATATCTTTCGTGTGGAATAGACTTATATTATCAGCATTCATTTATAAGATTTACTATATAGGTGGGTATTGGCCTTTTCTTGATTATTTATGACTTTGTAATTAGCGGGTTTTATGCAACCTCAAGCCATTCTTGCTCTTTAGCAAAATGCAAAGTAATTTATATGAAGAATTTAGAAGTCATTACATATTCGTATCTTACCTAGTTGGCTTATTTTCAAGTAAATTGAGTACCCTATGATGTATAGGGTTAGATTTCATTGTTCAAGTGGTAGGACTACCATGCCTTGGTTGGTCAGTCATAACATCTAATGCTAACATTGAAGAAGTTGCTAGTTCTGCTTTTATATCATGGATGTGTTTTGATAATTCTATTGGTTGTCTATGTTCCTTAGCGGTTTAGTAAGCTATGTTTGAAATTTTAATTTGTCAAAGAAAGTTAAAAAACAATCCTTTTGCTTTGTGTTGGTGGTAGAGAAGAAGAGGGGGGACGCTCAAGATGCTTTTAATACCAGCATTAATCGTGGCATAACCTTTTTTTGATACTGCTGAAGTGTCTGGTTCTAAGGTGGAGAATTGGCACAATAAATTACCTTTTTACCTGTGTTCTCTAAAAATTTTCGTCACTATTATTGGAGGAATTTAATCATGCTATCCTTGCAGCTGTTTCTTGGTGACATAAATTCTGAGACTCTGCTTGGAAGGTAGAATTGTACAATCCAATTGATTGTGATAAAACCTTTCAAGTTTCAGCTTAGGTAGATGTAACCAACTATAGTTTTTCTCCATATATTTTTCTTCTAATCAAGTTTCGTCATTATATGGAAGATTTATCAAGGAAAGGAAAGAAAAGAATCCAGAAGTGGAAGTAGCTGTTGCTACAAAGTTTGTAGCTTAGCCGTCAGAGTGTTCTCAGTACCCTTAAGGATTCCTTATGTTGGCTTGGACTTTCATCCATAGATCTTTATCAACTCCACTGGTGTACTTTATAGCGCTTTTCTTATCATCTATTCCTTACACATTTTATTTTTAAAGTAAGTAGCTTTTAAGTTCTTGTGTTAATTTTTAGGCCTGGAGTCAGGGGAAATGAAGGTAATTCAAGTTTTAGTACTTCCAATTCATTGAAGAACAGACTTTATAGTATCTAGTGCAAATTATACTCCACAATCATTTTGAGATTAGTGGAAGCTAAGTTTCGTGATATCAAAACTTCTTTCAGGATTTTATTGATGGTCTTGGTGATGCCTACGAGCAGGGCCTAGTGAAGGCTGTCGGTGTCTCGAACTATAGTGGTGAGTTTACCTATATCTTGATTAATCAGGTTGACTGGAAAAAAACTTAAATGACTCAATGTCTCATCTTCTATATATTTGCTTTTGTTATTAACTACTATTCATTAATATCTAGCATTTGGGGCCAAAAACTTAGGTAATTTAGTAGTAATTTCCTTTTAGTAAAAGTAAGAAATCCTAAATTTAAGTTGTATGATATGCAGGTTGAGTGGGTTAAGAGATGAGAGAGAGTTGTCTCCCATTATGCAATTAAGATGAAAAAAAAAAAGGGAAAAATCTAGTACTGGGGCAATTTCCATTTTTGTAGTTGTGGATTTTTTTTTTTTCTCTCTTAAGTGTAAAATTTTAATGTTTATGGTCCCTCTCTTCACAAAGGCGATTACGTGATACTTTTAGAAGCTTAATAAGAGAGGAATTCAACTTGCTTCAAACCAAGTGAATTACAGCCTCATATACAGAAGTCAAGAGTAGAACGGGGTGAAGGCTGCTTGTGATGAACTTGGAATCACATTGATTGCTTATTGTCCTATTGCCCAAGGTGGTATATGTTGCTTTAAATAATTGCTTTATCTTATTCATTCATGCATGTGTATATAAAGAAAAGTTTAAAACAAACAAAATTATTCTATTATTCATTTGCCTATTTTTGAAACTGAACAATGATGTGACTTTCATGTTTTAATTAATCCATAAAGCCAAATGCTTCAAACATTCACCGAAGCTTGAGTTTTGGTTACAGATAAAGTTCAACATACCACAGTTTGGCAAGAACAAAACATTGTCTATTACAACAGTTATTCAACCAAGCATGTATTTCAGTATTCAAGTTTAACTACATTCAAGGGGGTAACTGACTTTATGGGGTGCATTCTTTTTTACTGTTCTTCCAAAAGGAGTAAAGTGTGTCTTCTTAATTGCAGGTGCCGTAACAGGGAAGTATACACCAGCAAATCCACCTACAGGCCCTAGGGGAAAAATTTACACTCTTGGGGTTTTAAATAATGTAAAGCCTCTTGAATAGTCATTTATTCATCTTAATGCCAATTTTTGATTTGAGTTATTCTGAGATATAGTTTGAACCTGTGCAGCTCAAACCTTTACTTAATAGAATTAAGGAAATAAGAGAGAAATATAGAAAAACTCCTACACAGGTTTGTTCTTGTTTGTACTCATCTCTCACATACATATACAGTCACACAAGCACACCACACTGTTTCAATTTCTGGAGAATGTGCTTGAAGGGATTATCCATTACAGCAGAAGTGTTCTTTAGCATTATGTATTTCCGTTATTGTGCTGAGGTTTTGTATGAATTGAGCCTCTTTCTATATATAGGTGGCTCTCAACTGGTTAATAGCCCAGGAGAATGTCATGCCAATTCCAGGTGCTAAAATTACCGAGCAAGCTACGAATTTGTAGGTGCACTGGGGTGGAGACTCACCAACGAAGAGATCAATGAACTACGCTTGTTAGCATCAGAGATAAGTCCTGTTATTGGTATCCCTTTAGGGAACTTCTAGACTTCGTAGCAGATTCAAAGGCTTATATTGATTCAATAGCACACATATATGCTTAGAGAAAAAGAATGATTTTAAGTGAAATTTCTCTATGAATGTTAGGACAGAAATAGAGTTTCCAGTATTTAATGTCTACCAATTTCATTGGCGTGATTTAAAATAAACAATAATTGCAATGACATAAAAATATGTGAAGAGACCTGCCAATGTAAGCTGCCCAGATGAATAAGGTGAAAGTTACGGGACAACCTGGTTTGAGTCTTTGTGTAGGTAGTTTTTTCAACTTTATATCATTTTGTTTATCTGTTATTTTGTTTGAATTCATTGTGTTGTTTATAAGTTTAAATGCTGACTGATTTTTATCAACATTTGTACTCATTGAAGTGAAATATAGTTTAAACTTGAACTCTTCCAAAAATGAATTCATGTTAGCCATATAGAATTATAGAAAAAGGAATTAAAAGGAGGGGAGAAAAAAAAATCATAGAGACAGATTGAGTGGAAAATTCTCAATTACGTATTCATCTATGTAGTACGGTTTGAGAGCAAAATTAGTACATTATATTTTTAATATTGTATCAGGTCAAATATTGACAGCGTTAGCTAGAATGTAGTGTATTGGTGGGTATTAAAGTTCCTGGCTGGTACAACTTAGTACCCACCTTCACCAAGAAAAGAAAAAAAAAATGTGAGGGGGATCCGAAGAGAGGATGCGATTATTGACCTTCTGTAACTGATTTAATCTGGGAAGGGAAATAAAATGAGAAATAGAAGGCAAAGAGTTGCGAAGGGAGAAGAGAAAAGGGAAAAAACCAACAAAGATAAAAAAAAAAAAAAGATTAAAAGGGATGGGTTCTTATAAGTGTTTGTTGGAGTCTTATTGTGTGAGTGCAAAAATAGATTTTGTAAAAAAAATAATATAGATATGCATTTATAATACATAATTTGATTTTAAACTTAAATATTTTATATTTATTTTGAGAATATTGAGAAAAAAATAACTCAAATATTTAAAAAATAAAAAATACATCCCAATGTGAAAATTGTAAAATTAAATTTTAAAAGTAAACATTTAAGACCAAGTCTCTTTAATAAAAAAGAATCTATTCCAAATGAATAGAGTAAATACATGAATGCATCTTTGACATGAACATGAGTATTTGTATAAGAACATTTCTCATATTAGAAATTTATATTCTAAACTTTAAGATTCATACTAATCTCATATGACGTCTTTGGATGTAAGAATCATGTATAAATGAATAAATAATTTTTTAAAAAAGCATCCCTATTATTAGTGATGAAGTGAATGATTGTGTAGGACACCACTACTGTATAATAAGCTATAATGATACTCAAGTGATAAACAAAATGTCACCTGCATGCATTTTGTTGAAGCAAAAAATAATTGCATCAAGCTAAGGTCTGATTTGGCACATCCCTTAGCTCCAATACCTAAAAAACCTTAGGATGTTTTTTAGAGAAAATACTTTGTTGCTTAAATTAGCAATTATCAATAAATTTTAGAGAGAGAAACTCTCAACTAAAAAAGTATAGAGAGAACTTAAGTGAGAGTCATTACCTTACAAATTGTATAAAAAAGATATTTATAACTTTTATTTATAATACCCACAAAACAGGTTCTATTCTTGTCGGTCCGCTTGTTGTTGAAGGAGTGCTTCCTTGGTACTTAAAACGTTTTTCCCTAGTTAGGCTTGGAATTTGGGTTTATGACTTATTGCAAGTGTTGGACCACTATCTCAATGTACTTTTTATACAAAAGATATAATGGGGGAATTTGATTTGAAAAATCGTATGTCACCACATATCTATGCGTTTTATGTATAGTACAACACACTTATTATTTTAAAAAATTAAAAAAATAGATAAATATTTTCTCTAGTTACAATTAGAGTCAAGCTAATATGATATTTGGCATGATAAGTTTGATTGAAAAGCTTGAATTTCATAGTTTAGAGAAACAAAATTTTTAAGCATGTGACTATTAGTATTCTAATAGGTTATATTGGAATTTATTAAATTTTAAAAGAAGCAAAATATGATAGTTATTATATTAATCATGAATTTGAATGGCACAAAATACCATTATATATAGCTAAAAGGGTACATAACTAAAAATGTTAGCTTTCTTTTTTGAATTATGTATATATAATATTATCAAATATTGAGGTTAACGAGAAGTTAATTGATCTTAAAAGGTCTTTATTTTTTGGCTTAATTGACTTGGTTATCAAGTATTTTTCATGTGTTGTATTCTTTTGGGAATATGATTACCAAGCTTTTTACAAATAAAATTGAAATATAATTTCTTTTATTGCTATATTGAATTCAAGGAAACATATGTTGACTTAAAATTTCACCATCTAAAATATTTTAAGATATTATAGCATGAATATATGATTCAATATAATGGTGACTTTGTAATTTCTTCATCAACATATAATATTGTATAGAGAGTATATTTTCTAGAATAAACAGTCAAGTTAATTTAGAAAATTTGGGTTGATAGTGCTTCATCCCAAAGAAGGTTGAGAATTAATATTGGTTTTAAATCCACATATATTATTAAATATATCTTGAATGATTGGTTATTACACTACAAGAAAATTCATATTTAGTGACTAAATTATTGATCATTAAAATTTTATTTTTCGTCACAAATTATTATTAGTGATAAAATTTAAATCGTTAGTAAAACCCTTGTCACTAATGCTCTTAATGACAAATTAAGTACCTGTCATAGAAAATAATTTTATTGTGATAAGAAAAATTGACATTGTTAACAAGTTATTTATAATAATTTTATTCGTCACAAAAAAACATTCGTCACAAATGCAATTATAATGTAAAATTTAGTTATTAATTATTAAAATTGATATTAAATAAAAAAGATATTTATATAATTACAACACAAATATTTTAACAAAAATTTTGTCACAAAAAAATAATATATAAATTT